CGCTCAGAACAGCTGGCATGAAAAGAACCTCACACCATCTCTTGAGAGGCTAGTTGTTGGGGATAGCTCCTGTTGAGCTATTCCTTCCAGTTGGGCTCGGTTAAGAAGAATGTTCCTACAAGCAAAGAGTCGGCATGAGTGACCTCATACCACCTCTTGAGGGTCTAGTTGTATAGGATAACTCCCGCTGAACCATCGCCCAGCCCCCAAGGTACGCACTCACTACCGAGAAAGCAATTAAAGGAGTGCTCACTAGCCCGGCAGGGCTGACCAGGCTGAACTCTCCACGAAGGAGATGGTACGCCAATAAATAGAGGATAAAGTACAACAGAAAGGGGGTAAGACAATCAAGTCATTATACTTTCTACATCTTTCTAAGTACACTTTCTCTCTCTAAACACTCTCTAACTTAAGCTTCGGAGGGGGGTTCCTCGAGCCACCCCCGAGGGCAATTTACGTGTGCTGCCTTGTGTAGGTAGTTAACAGGACCCAGTTCACCCAGCAGAACCCTTGGATCCGCACTTGGAACAGTTACTGATTTTATTTCTTTGACATTTCTCGTGCGAGGTGGTTACGTCGATGGCGAGGTGCATAGAAGCCTTCTAGAGCCAGCTCGTGCGGATGAGGAATGTGGCTTCCTATCGTCGTGACGACACTGTTCGGGAGGTAGCTTTTCCTCTTTATTTCTTCATCTTTTATATTTCTATTTTCTTTTCTTCTAACATGATTTCTTTTTACAGGGACAACCTATTCCTTCCCGTACTCGGACGAGACCTGAGGTTCGGAGAGAGCCGGCTAGGTCTAGTTTGAGGCGTTGCCGCACTACTTCTGGTGGTCGGGGTGGCTCTTCTGATGTTGCCCGTACCGAGGCGGTGGAGGGCTCGCGCTCTTCATCTGAGAGTGCACAGGTTGGGCCGATGGGCCAGGGAGAGGCGACATCGGCTCCGAGAGGTGGTGGGACATACGAGGTTGGCTCGTCGTCGCAGCAGCCTCAGCCTTTGCTGATTCATCACCAGGGCGACCTTGGGTGAACTAGTCTCGAGTTGAGTTTCCCTTCTCCTGGTGAGACCGGAGCAGGTGGGGAGCATACTCCACGAGCTGATCAGTTCTTCGATATGATGAACATTCCTCATCATCTGCGTCCTCCAGCGCCGTAGTTGTACCTGTGTTTATTTATTCTAACTTTTATAGGACTTTGTCTGACTGACACATTTGTTAGACACAATTTGTATATCCAGACTATTACATATCATGATTGTATTATCTTTGTATTTATTTTTCATTTTTATGTGCATATGTGTGTGCAAGAAATTGTGATTAATTTTTGCACAAAAATTTCCGTCATTTTTATTACTAATGGAGGGTATCATACTTTCTCCCTCAAAAAGAAAAAATGAAAAATAAATTGGACTTAAAACAAACCTAAATTTAATTAAGTCTGAATAAATTGGACTTAAAACAAACCTAAATTTAATTAAGTCTGAATAAATCCAAGAAGAAAATAGAAGGGGAATACATTAAATCAATATATGTGGGATATTTGAACAAAGGGCAAAGTTGTAAAGTCATTGTACGAATTCGAATCATAGCCAGAAAAACATAGTTTGCATAGTACGTCAAGGAAGCGCTGCAGCGCCATGCGTTTAGCGCTGTCGCTGAACGCTGCTGCTGTCGCCAAGCGACAGGCTTGTCGTTCGGCGCTGTAGTGCGCTGATTCCGAGTCCTTTCCGGAGTCAAACTGCATCGATTTTGTAAATAAATAGCCCCCTAATCTGCCGATTTTCTGTATAATTCGAACAGATTATAATCTTAGTTTCTCAACAAATAATCATGTCTTTAGTTACTAAGAGTTTTAGCAATTTCACTCGGGAATGGTGTCGGTCTTTAACTGCTAAAGAGAGAAAAGAACTCGACTTTTTTCACATGGGAGGTATATATGTGTTAAAGGGGTAGATATTGATATAGATTTTATTCATAACGCCTTAGAATACTGGGATACAGATACACATTGCTTTAGACTAGGGTGCGATGAAATTAGCCCTTTGCCATAAGAATTTGGTGCCATCTTAGGCTTCCCTTCATTAGATCTTGCGGTAATCCCTAGAATAAATGAATATTATTATAAAGATTTTGAGCGCTTCTTTAATTTAAGAGACATAGATCTAACAAATAATTTAGATGGTAGCGTAGTTAATCTAAAAGAATTTGCACGCCACTACTTTGATAGACCTTATTCTGAATCTTTTCATGTTTATAGAAGAAGGGCTTTTCTCTTTTGCATGCTTAACCAATATCTTCTCACTAGTAGTAGAACTAATGAGGGTCAAGCAATTATATTAAATGTTTTGGAGCAAATTGAATCTGGAAGAAATCCGACGCCATTAATTGTTAGAGAGACTATGCTTAGTCTGATCTTGATGAATTGAAGAAAAATCCAAAAGCACCTTTTCGGGGCTCTCCAATTTTATTACAGGTAGAAAAATAATATTTTTAATTACAGAAATCAAAAACATATTTTTGTATAGTAATATACTAATTTATTTGCATTGATATTTTTTTTTTGCAGATATGGCTAATGGAGAGAATAGAATTAATTAGTCTTCCTGACAATATCGAAAAATATACTCCAAATTGCTTTGTGAGGCGAAAGAAACTCTTCTCTAAGATGGGGCGCCATGAGTGGAATAAAGTCTTTGCCTCTTGCAACTTTGCTATCAAGTGGGTCGTCCCCTGCTAGAAAATAGAGAAGATGGTTGGTGTCAACAAGCAACCCTTCTGCCGTCTTCCAAGCTTAACCAAAATGACTTTTTATTATCCCTGTAGGGTAAAAAGGCAGTACGGTCTACTTCAAACAATTCCTTCTAGGGATCTATCGTCCCTATGAATTCCCTGTTTCACAAGAAGTAGAGAAATTTGACACATATTGGAGTTCTAGGCCTTTATGGGAAGTGATTACCCAAAAGGTTCCTCCTTCCTTGCCCAATGATGTGAAGAGATGGCTTCTTAATAAGCCTACAAAGTACATGAAGAAAAATTGTAGTAGAACCAATGTGAAGAATCATCTAGGTGACAGAGTGATTCATGTTAAGGAACGCTTGGGTGAAAAGATTGAATTCAAAACACCTGTGATGCCTAAGAAGAAAGACTCTACAAAGAATAAAGGGAAAAGAAAAGCTGACATTTCAGAAAAGAAGGTTTGGGTAGAAAAGAAACTTGGAGTCCTAGCTAAAGGAGAAACCATTTACTCTAAAATTGAATGTAGGTCCTCTAAAGGATGCCTACTAGCTAAAGTCATGGATGATGAAGAGGATGCAGATAAAAATTGGAAAAGGGCAAAGAAGAGAAAAAAGATTGAAGCATTGCTCAACTTCCAATTTATTAGACTAGTTTAAATTTAAAGTTAATTTATTTTATTAAGCTTTCATTTAAATTCCATCAATAATGTAATTTTTATTTTTTTTTATTAATGAAATTTCAGCTTTTTAATTAAATCAACTTCTTTAAATTTAATTTATTAAAGCAATGAAAACAAATTAAATTATTTTATTTTCCAGAAATTTTTTCAAGTACGGAAGTCGAAAATTTTCCCAAAAACACCGAAATTTCCCAGATTTTCCCAGAAAAACGGAGCCGCCGTTTTGCAGCTGTCTCCAGGCGTTGCTGTCTGTCGCCGAGCGACAGGCGCTGTAGTATATCAGCCGGCGGCAGACCTCTATCTGTGGCGTTGCTACTCCGTCGAATTTCTACTGTTTCTAGAATGCAGGGTTTGCAAAAATTAAAGTGGCCGCACCCTGTAAAGGGTTGCCTACGTATCCTTTCCTAAGGAATCAGGCCAAATGATATGTTCATTTTATATAGTATTTTACCCCCATCCCTTGGTCATAATTAGGGGTCGTTTGGTTTGTAGAGGGGAATCGGAATGAAATGAAGAAAGGGAATGGAGAAGAAAGGAATGGATTCCCCTGATTTTTCCTAGTTGTTTGGTTATGTCCAGGAAACGGAATGAACTACTCATTGATTCCCTTTGTGACTGTTTGGTTCAAGCCAGGGAATCAAATTTTGAGTTTTTAAATTCTTTTAATTTTTGTTCAAAAATAACTTGTTATTATTTGATAAAACTTGTTTCTTCAGGAAACTTGAAGAACTTGTTTTTATTTTTATTTTTTTAAAAAAAATATACCACCAACCTGTATCGTCTTTTCCTGTAATATGAAATAATAATAATAATAATAATAATAATAATAATAATAATAATAATAATAATAATAATAATAATAATAATAATAATATATCTCCAAATAACATATTTCTAGCTCCATTGATTACAAATCCAAGTAATCACCTCTTGGTGAAAATAATACCAATGCAAAGTACTTGTTCCTAAATAAAAGTTCATACCAAAAGATTCATAATAAGATTAACATTCAACCCAAGTCTTTGCTACTAATCCTTTCTAGATAAAGTTCATGCCAAAAGTAGTAGCTTGTGAATAACACCTAATTGAAAACCATACATGAAACCACCACATAAGTTTTAAGCATCACCATTTCCACTTCCTCGTAGAAGACTCTTAACATAAACACTTTTTAAAGCGTCGGGACACTTTGAAAATACCATGAGCTTGTTTGGTTGTGCGGTTAGAATGTTAGCCACTTCAAAAACTTGGGATTCCGTGACACCTTCTAAATTGAAAGAGAGTAGTTCCTCTAGCACTTGCTCACTCTTTTCCACTAATTTTTGCTCTCTTTCATCCGCTTGTTGTTCACGATCATCAGTGTGTGCCATCACATTTGCCATAGTGGAAAGATGAACATTCATGTCTTTCATGAATGCTTGTAAGCTAGCCAACTAATTACTTCCAGCACCACTTTTTCTTTCTTTTTTTTTTGGAAGTTTTTTCAGTCTTCATCTTTTTTGAAGGAGGAGAAGTAACGGCTGAGTGACATTACCACTAGCAGCAACTTCCTCATCATCACTTGAATCGAGTAAAACCTGTGGGGGGGCAATAGTTTGCAAATTGTTGATTGCTTCAACAAAATCTTCAGCTGGTTTTCCAGTTGCATAATCCTTGCCATAAACATTCATGAGTTCATGGAAGTAGGGAAATGAAACTCCATACAAGTTTTTGCAGCTTGGATGTTTCTGAAAAGCACAAAAATTCCCAAAATGTTCAAATATACAACATCACGAGGTATCTCAAATATAATTTAAATGACATTCCACATAGGATTTTTTTTTTAGCTAGCACTACAAACAAAATCCTAAAATCAATTTTTTTTTTTTTTTTTAAACTGATGCACTTGTATAAATAGTTCTTGCTAACTATAGTTCTTATGCTTGCTTTTATAAATAGTCCTTCAAATCTTTATATAAAAAATAGCAAAAATGCTAAGCATCCAGAGCCATAGGAATATAAACAAAAATAGCAAGTATTCAAATTAAAAGTTCATAACCTTAAAAAATTTATCATACCTTGCAAAACTCATCATAAACAGCCCGGTCCACATAAACCATTTTTTGGAATCATCCCAAACGAATCCACTAGTATTTAACATAGTAGAAATAGCCCTAAACTTTGCTCCAAGTGTCTTTAGTCGAGAATCGATGTGTGGTATAGCCTTCAACCCACAACCAGGAAGAGCCTTACCTATGATCTCCTCTAAGCGAACCATGTAGCCGATTCTGAACCCATTTTCACACTTCCAATGAGGATCAACAGCTAGCTCTGACAATGCTTCTACAAGAACTTTATCTTCTTGAGCGGTCCAAAATCGTTTGTTTTTTTCCCCTTCCACCTCCACTTGCACTACTTTTATCCATCCTACTAAAAAATTTGAACCATATTAACATGTCAAAATAACATTGCATATATATAAAAATGAAATTAACAAAAAAAATATTCAATACAAGTACATAAAGGAAATTATTATAAGTCCAACACAACATCCATAACTTGATACAACAATAAAAATAAAAAAATAACACGAAATTGAAACAAAGGTACAAGTCTCAAGTTCAAATAACAAATACAATGTTGTTTACCAAACAAGAATAATATCACAAAGTAACTCTGTGGGTCTAGCCCTCCAATCATTGAACATATTTTGGGCCATTGTATTTTGAAAATTAGTCCATGGATTGGTTACAGCAATGGAGGTTATGTACTCCACATCATCTTCATCACTAGCATCACCATCACCATCATCATCATCATCACTATCACTTTCCTCAAACAAGTCATCATCATCAAATTCTTCAAGCATGTATCTTTTTACCAAGTTATGTAATAAGGCACAACCAAGCACAATTCGACCATGTGTTTGTAAACTAAACCAAGAAGGACTTCTAAGAATTCCCCATCTTCCCTTGAGTAACCCAAAGCATCTCTCAATCACATATCTAGCTTTTGCATGCCTTAAGTTGAAATATTCTTCGGCGGTTTGAGGTTGACGGGGGCCATTATTCCATTCTCTAAGATGATAAGATGCCTCTGTATGTTGCAAGGAATCCCTCTCCATTAGTATATCCTCCGTCACATAGATAATAACAACCTTGAAAATTTTTTTTTAAAAAAAATTACTCTCTTACTAAGTCAATTTCAAATAAAGTCTACTACGTCAATCAAATTACCTTTTGGAACTTTCAACCCATTAGGCCTAGAAATAGCATCTCGAAGAATCCAACCATCATGTGCCGATCCCTCCCAACCAGGTAAGACATATATAAATTCCATTTCAGGTGAGCATACTCCTAGTACATTCATAGCAAGGGTACCTTTTCTAGTGCGATATTTGGATCGATCTTCACAAGGAACATTAACTAGAATCATTGTACCATCAAGGGCACCTAATGAGCTCTACAAAAAAACAATATCACTTTAAATTATGTAATAGTCTCTCTATTTTATCTCAAATTAAAGTGTTGGTTTTTTAATTTACCTTGAAATATTTCCACCTTTCATCGTCGCAATCCTCTTGTATTGGAGTTGGTTTCTTAAGAAGAATATTATGTAACTTTAAGATTGCTAACAAACAAGCATGAAATTGTCTACTAATAGTTTCACCACTTCTATAAAAATGTGCACCAATCATTCTATTTTTCTTATGGTGAGCTAATGTGTATAAGAAGCCCGCAACCATCTCTTCCAAACATGTGTTTCTTGTTTCGTTTAATCCACCGATATCTCTAACCATTTCTAAAATTACACCAAATGTGTATCGATTTATACGAAGATAGTTCCTACACAAAGTGTCACTTTCTCTAATCATTCTATTCAAGTTGTGCAATCTCATTTTCCTTCTAGTTTTTTTATCTAGCTTAAGATAATGGGAATTGTATATAGTTTTTCTCATTGAGTAACACATCAAATGTAGCAACACAACACAATTAATCATAGTAATTATGAACCGAATAAAGTCCCAATTTCTCTTCCTTTTCAAAGAAGTACCAATTCGAGCCATTTTATGTAGAAAAGAACATCAACAACAACATATCATTGACTAGTTTACATATCATTTATACTCTAGATACATAAAAATTTCAAGCAAAACAAATATATACACATACATGAACATTAGTATATATAAACATCAAATATAATTAGCATTCATTCAAGGAGGAAAAAAAATTAAAACCGGTAAACCCTTCAAATAGCAACAGTGAACAACAAATTAATATCAATCATTATGGAGGTGATTGATAACGTGAATAATTCCTCATGAATTAGGAATAATGTATAAATTACCTATCAATTTATGAATAAAACAAAAAAAACGACAGATTAAGGTAGATCTAGAACGAAAATATGAATATTACGGTCGCCGGAGATCGTACCTTGTGGGGATCAGTCGGAAATAGTCGCAGGTGTACAACTTCGGTTGGTTGTCGTGGTGGCCGGAGCTCCGGTGAGGGGTGACGGTTGCTGGGAATTTCTTAGGGTAAGAGAGGAGAGAAAGAGTGATGGGGAATGAAAGGGAAATGGGATTGCTAAAGTCTGAGGGAGGGTGGGGAATGGGTGTAAAAGATATTTGGGTAAACACAAAAATAAAAAAAAGGGTAAAGGGAATGATAGATGATGACAAACAAACAACAACAAAGGGAATGGAGCCTGTCCATTCCCTTTCTCTTTGATTATACACCCAAACCAAACGGCCCCTTAGTAGTGTTTTTTCGCTCTTTAGAGCCACTTTTATTACTAATTGGTGTTTACTAGTATTTTCGTAGATTTGGTTGACTTTTGTAGAGATTTGCGCTTTTGAATCCTTTTCCCGAGATTTTATGGAGCAACTACGAGCATTGGAGAAGCACGACCAGTTTCTATAGCCCAGGGTCGGTTAAAGCCATCGAACCGGTGATTAAGGGCTCGGTGTATGTGATACCGGGGCATTTTGACCGAGTATTCAAGACCCGAAGAGGAAATCCAGATTGGCCCGAAGAATTGGAGCCCAATAGAAGTCCAAAGAGTGGCCCAAGAGTGCCGCCCGGCCAAAGAAGTTCCCGCCCGAAGGCGTGCCCGGCCGGGCGGGGGAAGTAAAGCCGGCGCCCGAACTCGCGCCCTGCCGAGCGCGAGAAACATACCTGATGAGAAAAAGGAGCGCCCGTTCGGGCTGTGCCTCGCCCGATCGGGCGCGTGTTATTATTAGGTGGTTTAATCGTCGTTTAAGTTTGTTTTAGTTTAGGATTCTTGCTTAATATAAATACTTTTCCGTTAAGCGAGTTTAATATCTTTTTTTACTCTTTCTTAATTCTTCTCTAAGATTTTCTCTCTCTACTTAGCTTTTAGATTAGTTTTCTCTCTCTAATACTTTGTTCTTTACTCTACTCTTAATTCCAGATTACTTTGGTAACGATTCCTTTTCTCTTAATCTCAGTTATTTATTTATTCTTTCATCATGTCTTATTTTATTGCTTTGATTAGTTTAGATTTAATTATGTTTGAGTAGTCTTCTTTCTGAGGTTTATGGGGATCCATAAATAATATGAAGGGGTAATTTATTATTGTTGATTATCAATGCTTGATTATTTTCCTATTGATTTAATGCTCTGTGACTAGATTAGGCCTGATCTTTTATGCATGAGTTTGACAATATTGATTAGAGATTCGAGAGATGAGAATTGATGTTTAGGTCTAGTTTCAATAGGCGGGTTAATTTATAAATGGTTAAGTCGAGATTCGAGAGATGAGATTTAATACCGGTAAATTAATTGTGTGATTGTAATACGTAGCGAAAGCCCTTTATGATCTGATTAATTGATGCATTCATGATTGATTGTTATGTTTTACCCTGGAGTATTATTTATTGGTGAACCTATGCCCTAGGCTTTTATTAATTGATTTCTCCTTATTTTTATTCTCCTTAGTTTAATTCCTTTTACAACAACAAATTTGGTTACTTGATAATCTAGACTATATTAGTTAATTAGGAATAGAAATACTCGTTTCCCTGTGGATTCGACCCTACTTCCCTATCTATTATTAGTTAGTGGTTTTAGGAATTACTTTTGATTAGGTGATACGACTTAAGCCTGTCAAAATTTGGCGCCGTTTCCGGGGAAACGGTTTTATTTTTATTTCTGATTATTTTTGTAGTCTAGGTTATTTCCTTTTGTCTCAGAGAATGTTAGTTCTTTGAGGCAAGTCTCATATTTGCTTTTAGTTCTTTGTTTATGCCCAGGTGTTCTAGATCAGGTTACATCCCATTCGATCCTGAGATCAAACGATCCTTCCATAGACAGAAGAATTTTTACAAGCAAATTCTGGCGGGTTCTGGTGATAACAATAATCACCGAGACCTTCCAACTGATTCTAGCGATTTAGAGGTATCTTCAGATCCAGAATCAGAGGTGGCGGTTGCTAAAAAGCTTAGTGATTATTCACAACCAAAGCTTACAAATTTTCCACACCTTACTCCCACTCCAGCTCTTGATGGGGTATAATTTGAGATTAAACCGCAATTTATAACAATGATAGAAAGGAAGCAATTTAGTGGAGCTAAGGGAGAAGACCCAAATCTTCATATCGGAAACTATTGTCAGTACTGTAATACCATCAGGCAAGCTAGGGTTACACAAGACCGAATCAGGGAGATTCTCTTTCCTTTCTCTTTAAGTGGAAAAGCCAAATTATGGTTTAATGGTTTAAATAGAACTGCACTTGGTATAACTAACTGGGAAACTCTTGTTTTGAATTTTTATAACAAGTATTATCCTGCAGAGAGAACATCTGTACTACGGAGTGCTATCCAGAACTTTTCCCAAGAAGCCAATGAAACTTTATATGAGGCTTGGGAAAGGTTCAAGGATCTACAAAGAGAATGCCCCCACCATAACTTGGCACAATGGCAGTTAATCCAAGTCTTTTACAATGGGATTGGAAATTCATCTAGAATAATATTGGATTCTGCTGCTAGTGGGAGGTTTATGAACCTTAATGTTGATGATGTAGGTCAAGTTATCAAAGATATGGCGATACATAATTCCCAATATGCGAATCCTAGAGGCTTTGCTAATAAGGGGAAGCATAGTGTTGACTCTGTATCCTTTTTACAAGCTCAATCAACCTCTATTTGCCAAAAACTAGATAATCTTAGTACTGAAAATGTAGCTAATGTTTTTGCAATTAATAATAATGCTAATGAGGCTTTCTGTGAAAATTGTGGAATTTTAGGTCATTGGGAACAAGATTGCAGGAGTTCCGTGGAGCAAGTCAATGCCTTTCAAGCTTATAGGCAGAATAACCCATACTCCAACACCTACAATCCTAGGTACCGAAAGCATCCGTACCTTTCCTACCGGAGCACCAATGTTCAAAATCCACCACCACCACAAGAATCACAGGCGCCACAACAACAACAGCAGGAATATTACCACCCCAATGTTGGCCAGAAGAACCAACCACAACAACCCTCCTCATCTTTCGACCCTACTTTGGTAGAAATTAGAGCGATGTTGGCTAACATGCAGAAGCACATGCAGAGTAGAGATGCCAAATTGATTCGATCCTAGCACACAATAAAATTGTAGATAATCAAATTGCGCAAATTTCTGCTACTCTACAAGCCCGTCAACAGGGAGCCCTACCAGCACAGCCGACTAGGTCTACGGATTAAGCTTATGCAATTACTCTAAGGAGTGGTTCAAACTATGAAGGGCCCTCTATGCCCAGAGATGATGAATTTGTTTTAATAAATAATGCTAATCTTGATTCCGTTAAACCTGACAATGTAGCTAATAGCCCCCCGGGGCTAAAGAATAGTACTAATATATCTAATTTTACATTTCAGGGTATGACTCCAGGGAAGGTAGCAACTCCAGATAAGAGTAGTAATGCTCCAAAGCCAGTTATCAAACTTCCATTCCCCAATCGTCACTTGAAAACAAATTTGGATAGGCAGTTTGGTAAGTTTCTGGAGATGGTTAAAGATTTGCAGGTAACAGTTCCCTTCATTGAATTAATTACACAAATTCCTGCATATGCAAAATTCATGAAGGAAATATTGACAAGAAAAAGGTCTATTAGTGAGGTAGAGACAGTAGCTTTCACTGCAGAATGTAGTGTCGTACTTCAAAATAAATCTCCACCTAAACTGAAAGATCTGGGTAGTTTTTTTATTCCTTGTCATATTGGCAATTTGATGATTGATAATGCATTATGTGATTTGGGCGCTAGCGTTAGTATTATGCCATTGTCTGTGTGTTCCAAGTTAAATACGGGTAAACTAAAAGCTACCAATATTACTCTACAAATGGCCGATCGTTCTTTTAAATACCCCTTAGGTGTTTTAGAGGATGTTCCTGTTAGAGTAGGTAAATTTTATATACCTGTTGATTTTGTTGTTCTTGATTTTAAATACCCATATATTTTGGGTAGATCATTCCTTAACATTGCAGGAGCAATTATAGATGTGAGATGTGGCAAATTGACACTACCAGTGGGGGACGATAAAATTATTTTTAATCTTAATAATACCCCTAAAAGCCCCATGGCAGAGGAGAAGTGTTTTAGTGTTGATGTGGTTCAAAGTTATTCTAACAAGCCCC